CATACCGGTAATGACCGGTTGTGACCCGGCGACTGACATCTGCTGCTGTGATAGGCGGGACAGGTAGGGCGGCAGCGCGCCTTGCGCGCCCCCTACCTTTTTTAAAAACACACGTTTTAAAACAGCCGTGCCACCCTGCCAACATATTTTTACAGTGGCTGGGCGGCATGTGGTTAATGTTTAGGGCATACATAGTACAAAATACAGTACCATATATAACACATTACGAAAGAATCAGCCATTAACAAAAAAAACAACAGTACTAAAAGAAAATTTCCAGTGTTACCAGTTGTCCACTGAACAAATATGTACAACAAGATTGTAGTATTATTTTCAGTAAAGGCACATGTGGAACCCCCCCACACACAGAGCAGTAGATGTTTTTCACAGTGGACCAGTGGAAAATACAGATCTCCCTACATAATAATTACAATAATAACAACACAACAGGCAGAGCATATCATGAAAGGATCATTACAACAACCTAAGCATTATCCAATAATCAATCAATATACAAGTTCAGTGTTACTGATGGAGCTTAAACTGTCTTCTATCTCTTCCCAGCTGAGCACTGCACCAAAGGCAAAGATAACTCTGTTTACAACATATTAAAAGGGATAAAGGGAAAATCACTCAAATAGTTTTGAAGGGGAGCAGACTCAAATATTTATAGAAAAAAAAGGAAAATTAACAAAAAAAAAAAAAAAACTGAAGAAAACATCTTACTCAAGAATGCGTTCTGAAAACCCTTTACCCCCTTAAATGCACTCCTAATACCTAAAGGCATTTAATGATATCTTTGCTGAACCTTGGGTTAAAAAAAAAAAAAAAAAAAAACAAAAAAAAAATGTTTTTTCAAGTGTGTATGGTAATACGGTGCCCTAGGAGGTTGACCACAGATGTCTGACCTGTACCATTTGCAGTATGGCACTGAGCAGTTTCCTAAGGTGTACGGGTATAGTAAAATTAATTTGAGCTTTGACATATTAACGACATATTAACGACGTATTAACAACCACGTAAAGAAAACTTTACGTATACTTCAGAGGCTTCTTTATCACATGTCCATGTCTGTTTTATCTTACATATCTAAATCTGAATGTTACTCTCAGCCTCAGTTCCATGCTCAGGTTCCCTTAGACACAATCTGATTTAACGTATATATCCAGCCCAAACGTTTTCCCTTAGGTGTGGATAGAGCAGGGAAGATTTAGAACCCCTTATTGGTTTTTGTATTGATATTCAGGGATAGGTGACTGAGATTCTCCTCTACTTTACTATCCTACTAACATTTTACCAGATAGAAAGTAGCAACACTGTGAGACAGAAACTTTCTTTTTTTTTTTTTAGTAGACTAGGGAAAAGCTAGAACCCATGTCAGATTTTTATTTATTTGTCCCTGTTGCAGAATTGTATGTATTTTCTGTCTGGTGAAATTATTGTCAATGGGCAAAAAGTTTAGCCACAGACAACAGAAAAAAAAATAATCAGACAAGGGTTCTAATCTTTCCCCACTCTATACAAAAAAAAAAATATAACATTTTGATTTGACATACACTTACACACACTATACAAGGGCTGCCATTTATATGAAGCAGCATATTGCTGTAACTTTGCCTCTAAACATTTTCCTTTAGCCTTTTTCCTGCCTATTCACACACAGAAAAAAAAATCTCAAAAGTTCAAGGCCAAGATGAAGTACAGTGGAACCAGAAATACATTATCTCCCACAAACAGAACAGGCACTTTCAGCTCTCAAATCCTTACTTATTTGGCCTCATTTTAATATAATATCCATTAACCACAATGATAACTAAGTATTCAATTCATATTTTTTTATACTTTGTCTATACCTTTTCTACTGATCACTGTATATTGCTTGATATATCATGTGTAACTCGACCTGGGCCTGTAAATTTAAATGTGCTGTGCTTTGTATGTGGGAAGCATTATTAAGTTGTTAGTTTGTATTTTTGTTTCAGTTTACTGTTCTTTGTAATGTTCTATGTATTTTTGAACTTCTATAATGTCTTAGAAGAAATAAATATAAAGGAAAAGTTAACCAGTGCAGCCTTTTTACTAGTATTTTCTATTTCCTCTTCCTTTAGTCTGCTACTATTTCCATTATTTTTAAATAAATAGATAAATAGACATTTGGTTGTTTTTGTGTTTACCTTTCATTTGCTGCACATCATATCCAGGCATACTGTAAATTTTTTCATAGGCAGAAATGTTTGTTGCTGAGTATTCTAAATAGAGCAGAAATAGGTTATTTATTTTGTAGTCTTGCTATTCAGGGCACATAAAATCTATATAAAACAGAGAATAATAAGTGAGCGCTTTCAATATACAAGCAGCTAAGGCACACAGGATAACCAAAAAAATCCTCACATGAAAATAAAATAAAAGTGCAGCGCTAGAAAATATATAAATGTGACACAATGTATATAAAAGTGATCAGAGAAAGTCCCAACAACGGTGACCTAGGGTAACAATGCACACTAACCTGAAGTGCACATTAAAAGTGCAGTGTAGGAAGGATGGAGTTCATAAAGTAGTCATCAGCATGGGATGGGTAGATGTATTCCCTTGATCAGTGAAGGTCCACACGATGGTACAGAGCTGGGCAGAAGAAATCCACTAGATGGCAGAAAACGATCACTGCTCCACCAAAAAAGCACTGCTCCTCCACTGTGCACAAACGATATGCCTTTCTGAATCCGGGAGGACACATCTCACTACATGTGGAATGAGGCACCTTTTCTCTTGTTTGTATAACAATCACTTTCATGCACAGCTCTCTCAGGAATGGCTCTCTGAGTCCCAGGCCAGGTGCCTCATTCCACATGTAGTGAGATGTGTCCTCCCGGATTCAGAAAGGCATTAAAGGAAGGAAAGCAAATTTGTTGCTATGACTGTGTTAAGTGTTCTAATGGGGAGATAACAGCTGTCCCAGTGGGGAGCACCTTTTCTCTCAGATATCGTTTGTGCACAGTGGAGGAGCAGTGCTTTTTTGGTGGAGCAGTGATCGTTTTCTACCATCTAGTGGATTTCTTCTGCCCAGCTCTGTACCATCGTGTGGACCTTCACTGATCAAGGGAATACATCTACCCTTCCCATGCTGATGACTACTTTATGAACTCCATCCTTCCTACACTGCATTTTTAATGTGCACTTCTGGTTAGTGTGCATTGTTACACTAGGTCACCGTTGTTGGGACTTTCTCTGATCATTTTTATATACATTGTGTCACATTTATATATTTTCTAGCGCTGCACTTTTATTTTACATAAAATCTATAGTCTGTCGTTTTGGTAGAATAAGGAAATTGGGTATGAATTTATCCTCCTAATGTGGGGCAAATGTAGGTTTTGGAACTCATGTTTAGGTAGTATCCAGTCTTCAGGATAGATTCTCTTTGTGAACTGGTAAAGTAGTCTCTCCTTTTGCAAGTCTTTAAACAGGCTGAAATTTAAGGCATATTTTATTTGATGGATTGCAATAGATCTAATTGAACTTACTGCGTGTGCTCAGTAGTATATCTGTGATCGGATAATTCATCTGAACCTCTGTATCCCCTTCTTGCCTGTGATATATCCCAGGTAGACTGGCCAAAGATGGCTTGAATCTCAGCTGGTTCATCAGGAATTGGCCGGGATTTGAACCATGTATGGACAGGCTGAATGTACTCAAGTTGATTGATCAATCAACTTGGGTACAACCAGCCTGCCATATTTTACATGCAGTTATCACTAGTGGCTGTTATAGCCCCTAGCAATGATCACTGAGCAAAATGACTTAGCGGGAGGGATTCCCCTCTGAACACTGTGTTGATGGGAGAATTGAGTGAGTTTTTTCCTGGCAACCCATGGTTGTAGGAAAGAAATTTGCACCGTCTATGGCTTTCCTTAGCTATATGAGGATACACAACTTTTCTTTTCTATTGTTAAATCTGAACTGAATACTTGGCTTGATTCTTGGTTTGTCTAACACTAATTTCTAGTTTGTATTTTAGCACTAATTGTTAGTTTAAGCCGTCTCCTTCCTCTGACCCCCTAGCCTGTCTCTGAACACTGCTTTGGCATTGGTGGTATTTAACTCTTTTGCTGCCATGGATGTAAGACTTTTGTTAGAACAGAAATGCTTTCAGCTGGCCAGGTCAGTAAGTTTAACATCCATCTGTTACCATGAATTTATGAATGCACAAGGTAGTGATTGGTACTGATCACTTACTGTGTTTGTTCATAAAAGTGAAGGGGTTAATAAGCAAACATTAGCGACATGTTTACTAAAACCTTCCATTTGCCATCCTGAAGATCTGATCCTCTGATCTGATAGAATTGTCCTCCTGACTCTGATTAACCCCTTGCCTACCAGGCACTTATGCCCCCTTCCTTACCAGGCCAATTTTCAGCTTTCAGCGCTGCCGCACTTTGATTGACAATTGCGCGGTCATGCAACATTGTACCCATATGAAATTTTGATCATTTTTTTCTCACAAATAGAGCTTTCTTTTGGTGGTATTTAATCGCCACTGGGCACTTTACTTTTTGCGCTATAAATAAAAAAAGTGCAAAAAATTTGAAAAAAAAAAAAGTTTATTTGTTTGTTTTATAAAATTTTTCAAACAGGTATTTTTTCTCCTTCACTGATGTGCGTTGATGAGGCAGCACTGATGGGCACTGATAGGCGGCACTGATGGGCACTGATAGGCAGCACTAAAGGGCACTGATAGGCAGTACTAATGAGGTGGCACGGATAGGCGGCACTGATAGACAGCACTAATTAGGGGTCATATATAGGTGGCACTGATATGCAGCACTGATAGGTGGCACTGATAGGTGACACTGATGATGGGTACTGATAGACAGCACTGACTGGCATCACTGCTGGGCACTGACTGGTGGCACTGACTGGCACAACCCCTGGGCACTGACTGGTGGCACTGACTGGAAGCACTGCTGGGCTTGCTGGGCTGCACTGGTGGGTGGCACTGGCGGGTGGGCACAGGTGGGTGGCACTGGTGGGCACAGGTGGGGTGGCACTACTGGGCACATGTAGGTGGCACTACTGGGCACATGTAGGGCACTAGGCACAGGTAGGTGGCACTGCAGAGTGGCACAGGTGGGTGCACTGCTGGGCACAGGTGGGGGCACTGCTGGGCACAGGTGGGTGCACTGCTGGGCACGGGTGGGCGGAGCTAGTGGGCGCACTGCTGGGCGGAACTTGCGGGTGTCACTGCTGGGCACCGATCATCAGGGCACTGATCATCAGTGCCCTGATGATCGGTGCCGATCCCCGCTCTGACAACTGCCGGTTCTTGGCAGTACTTTCCTCACGATCTGACAGCGTGAGGAAAGTGCAGCCGAGAACCGGCACTTGCATTTCCCTGTGATCAGCGTGTCATTGGACACCGCTGATCATGTGGTAAAAGGCTGCTGTGATTGGCCTTTTACCACATCACGTGATCAGCTGTGTGTCGGTAGGACACAGAGATCATGGAGATCGCCGGGTGCGCGCCCCCTGGGGCGCGCAGGAGAGCGCGTTCTGGGAGGACGTCATATGACGTCCACCAGAACTGGCCGGCCGCGGTGAAGCCGTCATTCGGCTATGCGCGGTCGGCAAGAGGTTAAACCTCTGTTTACATGTAATTGATCAAATATGCCCTACCCCACAATCACTGACACTACTGCTACCGCTGCTCTGTAGCCCAGCACTGTGTTCTGTCTCTCAGTAATCATTACCACTCTCTGCCAGAAATCTGCTTCTTTTATTGTCCCCCTGTGTGCCCTCCTATGCCTGCTTTCCCTATGACTTCCAGCAGTGAAAGTGTGTTCTGTTGGGGACACAGAGTGGAGCAATTTTCAGCCAACACAGCAGGAAGGATCCAGTGAGCAGCAGTCAGTGGGAAGGAGGGGATTGGAGGATCAGATCTTCAGGACGGCAAGTGGAAGGTTTTAGTAAACATGTCTCTAATGTTTGTTTATTAACCCCTTCACTTTTTATGAACAAACACAGTAAGTGATCAGTACCAATCACTACCTTGTGCATTCATAAATGAAGCGATAGGAAACACATCAGTAGTCACATGTTTGCTATCACTTTTTTTTGTGAATGAACAGGTAGTGCTCTGAGAACTTTTCATTCATCAGTGATTGCAAGGAAATTGAGGACACTGTGTTCCAAATCTCTTTCTTTATTTCACTTTATTTCAAAGAGTAAATATTAGATTATTTCCCAAACGTCCCCAGTTCTAGTGCAGGTAAATAAGGACTGCAATGCCTGCCATTAAAAGGATTAAAGTGGTCTGGTGATAGTAATTGGATAGCATAATCCAGAGCATAATTTCAGGCTGTACATGAATTTCAGTGTGTGATCCGTTTCACACACAGCATGCAACTATGTTTTTTATATATATATATATATATATATATATATATATATATATATATTACAGTTAGGTCCTTGTATATTTGGACACAGGCACACTTTTCATACTTTTGGCTCTGTATGCCACCAGAATAAATTAAAACAAAACAATCCAAATGAATTTGAAGTGCAGACTTTCATCTTTAATTCAAGGGGTTGAACATACATATCAAGTACAAATTTTAGGAACTGCGACCATTTTATATACAGTCCCTCCATTTTCAGGGGCTCTAATGTAATTTGACAATTGAATATAATAATGTTCATTTTTAATATTTTGTTGAAAATCCTTTACTGGCAATGACTGCCTGAAGTCTGGAACCCATGGACGTGACCAGAGACTGGGTTTCCTCCCTTCTGATGCTTTGCCAGGCTGTAACTGCAGATGTCTTCAGTTCTGTGTTTGTCGGGCTTTCTGCCTTTAGCTTTGCTTTCAGCAAGTGAAATGCATGCTCAATTGAGTTGAGATCAGGTGACTAACTCAGCCATTGCAGAATATTCCACTTCTTTTCCTTCAAAGTTTCTTGAGTTGCTTTTGCAGTGTGTTTTGGATCATTGTCCATCTGAACTGTGAAACGCTGTCCAATCAACTTTGCTGCATTTGGCTGAATCTGGGCTGACAGTATATCTCTAAACATTGCAGAATTCATCCGGCTGCTTCTGTCTTCTGTCACTTCATCCATAAACACCAATGACCCAGTGCCACTGGAAGCCATGCATGCCCATGCCATCACACTGCCTCCACCATGCTTTACAGATGATGTTGTGTGCTTTGGATCATGAGCTGTTCCAAGCCTTCTCCACACTTTTTTCTTCCCGTAATTCTGGTACAAATTAATCTTAATTCCAACCATCCAAAGAATGCCTTTCCAGAACTGGTCTGGCATTTTTAGATTTTTTTTGGCAAAGTCTAATTTGGCTTTTCTATTCTTCAGGCTTATGAATGGTTTGCACCTTGTGGTGAACCTTCTGTATTTGGTCTCGTGAAGTCTTCTCTTGATTGTAGACTGACAATGATACGCCCCCCTCCTGGAGAGTGTCCTTCACGTGTCTGGATGTTGTGAATGGATTTTCCTTTACCATAGAGAGGATCCTGCGATCATCCACCACTGTCGTCTTCATTGGAGGTCCATGCTTTTTATGTTGCTTAGCTTGCCAGTGCTTTCTTCTTTCCTCAGAATGTACCAAACTGTTGAGTTGGCCAGTCCTAATGTTGCTGCTATCTTTCTGATGGATTTGTTTAGTTTTTGAAGCCTTTAAAATGGCCTGTTTCACTTGCACGGACAGCTCCTTTGAACGCATGATGTAGGTTCATGACAATATATTGCAAATGCAAATACCACACTTAGAATCAACTCCAGGCCTTTTACCTGTTTAATTGAAGAAGAAATAACAAAGGAGTAGCCCACACCTGGCCATGAAACAGCTTTTGATTCAATTGTCCAATTGCGTTTGCTCCCTTGAAAAAGGGGGGATGGCTACTCTTCAGAGCTGTAATTCCTAAACCCTTCCTCCAATTTGGATGTATATACCCTCACATTAAACCTGAGATTGTGCACTTTCAGCCCATATCCATTATATAACTATAGCTTGAATATGTTTTGGTAAATACCTGAAAAAAACTAAAATTGTGCCTGTGTCCAAATATACTGTATATGGCCCTAACTGTGTATATATATATATATATATATATATATATATATATATATATACACACACACACACACACATTGTAGCAAGAGTGGCAAGCTTAGTAACAAAATTGTATTAATTTCTTCATTAACACAATTATTAACAGAGACCACTGCAGATTGCAACTCCTGCTGATTATTGGACACATGACATCAGCTTACCAGTAATTGGGAAAGGAGTATGGGGGGGGGGCAGCTCTGACTTGAGGAAGCACAGCTTTGCCTCTACCAGGATGGACACCTCCAACAAGACACATGAAACAAGACATAGTAAGTCAGTATAGGGGAACACATCAGCTGCAGGATACCTACAGGCACTGTTGGTAGCTAGTCCTTTATACTCAGCTTGACTTGTGGGCACTGTGTCTACAATTTAGGTCCTCTATACTTTTGGAGCTTGTTTCTAAACAATGGATGGATTATTTATTTCTTTTTTTCTGGTGAAACATACATGCTTTCTAACTTTTCTGATCTTCTTACCGATCTGTCAGCACCATTTTGCATTTGCCTTTTCTCCACATTCCTGAATACTGTGTCATGATATCTGATTGCTTCAGTACTATGATTATTGCGTCATTACAATTTTGGGACTATATAAACAGACTGCTTATATTTAAACCTAAAGACATTTTCAAAGTATCCTCCTATTTATCAATATAAAAAAACATAATGTTGGCATTTGTCATAAAACCTACCTTAGTAGATCAAAGAAGCCCTAGAGTCACAGACACAAAGGATTGTACTTGTCGATGGTCAAGAGAAGCATATCCTAAAAAATGTCATAAATTTGCATCTACGTTAAGGAAAAAGCTCAGAATTAGACAAATGCACATAGATAATTTTAGCGATTTGGTACAAAAACAACAGCCACATCTGCAACTTGCACGTGAGAGAAAATAATGACATTTTGTTTAGTGGCATTGATTGATATCATAATATAGAACATATTTTATGCATGTGTAAGCTTGTTGTTTACAGATACTATTTTTATATTATTACGCCATAGAAGATAAACTCATTATCTATTATTAACCTCCCTGGCGGTATGATTCTTTCCGATTTTTGTGTGCTGAAAGCGGTACCATTTTTTTGCATAGGAAAATATGTAGTTTTTTATTGTAGGCTGTAATATTTAGGAATAACTCCTGAAATCTGTCCGAACAAGAGTCTAGTAAACATCCCGGGGGGGATAAAAACTAAAAACATGAAATCATAAATTATAATTTAATAAATAATCATAAAAAATTAAAATATAATAATAATAAATTTAATTCAGTAATATAATCAAACCAAAAACACTGAAATTTGAAATACAGAGGCAAATTCGCACATCGCTGAGCAAAGTCGCAAAATCGTTTTCAGTGTCTGATGACGAATTTCCCCCACGAATCATTATCACTCAATTCTGCAAGTGGTTCTGATTCACTATCGCTGCTCTAAAACTGCTTTTGACGTAAAAGGGACGCTTTTTGGACGCCATGGACTTTTCTAAGTTTCCAGGCAGAAAGAACAGTCCAAATGCAGGCAGGGCGCCGGACAAAGCACTCGGGACAAATGTATGTGAAATGCATTAAAACAGCAATGACAGCAAAAATGACATTTATTAAAAATTTCAAATTTCCCGCCAGTTCCGGTGCCCGTACGTCCCGACGTCACAGGGACCGGAACACGGAAGCCGGATGCCGGCATTGGCCGGAGGAGATGGCCGGGGACACTGCAGGGGACACATCGCCGGAGCGAAGGACAAGGTAAGTGCTGCAGGGACCCCCCGAGCAACGCCGTATGGTAAGCCCGAGTGTAGCTCGGGGGTTACCGCTCTTGGTATTGAAATTTTACCCCGAGCTACACTCGGGAAAACCGTGAAGGAGGTTAAACAGTTTCAACAAAAAACAATGTAGAATTTTCTCTGAGCTACGTGTGAGGTTTCAGTGGTCTGCCACTTAGTTAATAGGAGCATGATGAAATGGTGGAATTTTAATCTAAGAGGTGGTAGGATTAGTTAAAGAATGACCACATATACAGAAATTAACAGAGGTAATGTATGTATCAGCAGGGGCGGACTGACAACTCATTGGGCCCCCGGGCAATAGGGGATCATGGGGCCCCTGTGTCCTTGCCTAAACTCAAAAAAGCCTATGAAAAAGGTACCAGGGGCATCTCATGGGGCCCCCTACTGACCCCGGGCCCTGGGGCAGTGCCCGAGTTTCTAAATGGTCAGTCCGCCCCTGTGTATTAGTATGTTATTGTCTCATCAACTTTTTGT